CCAGCTTCAAGTAATCTCCAGTTTCAAGGTTGTATTCTGGCCAATGTAGTGTTACGGTCATTGGACTATTCGGGTCACTTTTGAAATATAAGATAAAAAAATAACCTTCAAGGATCTTTATACTGATTAAATTTCAAAATAAACGAGCAATATGTATTTGTACAAACAGCCCCGATACAATATGAAAACATATACTTAGTGTATGTCTGTACATTGAAAGACTCTTCGAGCGCAGCACTGATTTTCAATGATATTGTTTAATATATAATTCTCAAACATCACCAGAGGTGGTTTAGTTTGGCGTAAATATATTTTATTCGTTACATAGAAGAACACACAGGCGGCATTAAAATAAGACGCAAGAATTGGCGCCAAATTATTGAAACCATGCATGTACAAGTAATTATATGTTAGTGTAAAAGCATACCATTACTTAAAATGTAATACATTTTTTCATTTCAAATAACATTTTGTATGAATATGGAAGCGTAAGGAAAACAAAATTTGCAACATAAGACGCTACCGGGAGGGAAATCAGGAATGAAGATTATTTCATATACATGTAGTGATTTGTTCGTAGCTAGGTGATGTCTTTAAGACAGAGATGTATTATTTTGGTTTTATTTTCTTTTTATATTGTCATTATTCATTACTATTTTTAGTATTTCCACGTCTTTGTTAACTGGCAATGAAATTTACACAAAACACACGTGCTTGAGGTGTTGAGTTATATATGCATAACGATTACCTAATGAACCGATGAGTATATAGAGTACATAGTGACTTACCCTGACTTTATGAAGTTTGTCCAGTATGTTATCATTTTTGTGAGAAGAACTAACTCCCAGGCATTTTGTTCTCCAATACCAATATATCCAAAACCACCAAACATAAACAGAAGCTCATCTGTATGTACAACCCCGGGAATCCAGCTTGGCGTTGGTACCCAGTGATATGAGGTTACTGGGGTAAAATGATACATAAAATTACGAGATGACGTTGACTTTTTATGAAGACGAGCCATATCTATCGCCGGTGTGCCGTAACTATAACATCTCCTAATAATTTGACCAGCTGAAGTCGAGTGTTATTTGTATCTGAGGGATCTGTCCAGGAAGTGTACTGAGAAGCAACAAGATTCACTATTTTTGTTTTAATGAATCCGTTTTATATAGAAAATTCAACGCATGTGCAACAAGCATAGTTTTCATATCTTCTTGCAAAGGAGATAAACCTTCAATTTGTTCAGCTTGTATCAAAAATGGCAAAAACAATACCCCTTCATAAGCATTGAAACCGCTCAAGATATCCAACGACCGGAAAAATTCTACTTCATCAGATGCCTTATCTTCAGCCCTTTTGGAAATATTTTTGGGATTGAATTTGATAAAATCCCCATCGATCACTGGACTAAAACGAACAGAATAGTCAAGGCGTTTTAATTCTGTTAAATGCTCTTCGGAGCTTTTCTCTCTCAAACAATCAATCACGTCAGGTATATCCTCACCAAAACATCCTAGATTGGTTGCTAAAGTTTCTACATCCTTATCTACATCTCTTTCTAACTCTTCAACTGGCATGGAAATGCTACCACTCTGTGCTATGATTCGTTGAATAAGTCCGCGGTTTTCTGGCATAAATCCATGTTGCATTGTACTCATTGCTCCTGCAGACTCCCCAACAACAGTCACCTGGTTTTTGTCACCCTCAAAACTATTAATATGCGTATTGACCCATTGCAAAGCCATGCGCTGATCCCAGAGTCCAGCATTTCCAGGTACTGTTTTATCACCAGTGCTGAGAAATCCAAACAAACCAAGTCTGTAATTGATAGTTACAACAATAACATTACCATATGCAGCAATGATACTTCGGTCATATTGACTTCCAGCTCCCTCTTGGAAACCTCCTCCGTGAATTGAATCCAAACCATGACGGCATGGCCAGGTGGTTTATCTGAAGGTTGATCGGGCACGTACACATTTAGAAACAGACAATCTTCACTCATATCTGTTATTGATAAATTGAACGTTGATGAAATCTGCGGGCACAATGCTCCATGTTTTTTAGCATGAAAGGGTGCAGTGAAGTTCGTCAGTACTTCTGGTTTAAGAAATCGCCTCTCACGAACAAAAGCTTTAGCAAAAGGTATACCCAAATATTGATGAACATCCTTGTATGGTAATAAATCCAAAGGCAAAGTTATTTTTGTTCCTATTATTTCCCCTAGTGTAGTTGAAACAATGGGATCTGTAGACCTGACAATTTTTATGGTTGTGATTAAAACCACAAAAACATGAAATGCTATCCGCTTCATTATTGTTAGATATCTAACGATTGTAAGTGTTTTGTAAGTACATGTATTAGAATACTCGTAAATGAACAGCAGAAGTATACTTCAGATCATTACTATTTATTGAAGATCACTTTTATGTTTTTTATCATTTATGAGATTTACAATATTCACCCTTATTTTACTTTTTTAGGTTAAAAACATGCATTCACTTTAATCCACATTTCTATAGTCTGTATCGTTTTAAATTCCTGTCATTTTTGCGAAAAAGTTTGATTTTAAAAACAATAATTGTCGTATCTTCTGCATTTGTGAATTATAAACTATTCTATATTTGCTCTGGTTATCAGAATATTGTTGTAGAAAATGATATTTAAAGAACATTTGTTATAGAAGTAAAGCAATATATGTTTGTTTAGTTTGTATGAAAGATTTATATTGCGACAATATTTTTGTGTGCAATATCGAGTTACAGTTGTAACAACTAGATCGTGACGTAAATCTTTATAATAACGATATTGTGACCTTCACCAATATATTTATATGTTACATAATGAGTGTGCTATATTCAGAAGCAGGGTAAACTTATGTTTATGGAGTTAACGTCTACTCCGACTGTTCCAGCTGGTCAGAATCTGCTTTTGGTAAACCAGAATCCGGTCCCGGATGAACCGGCTGGTAGACAACCGTGTTTTTATATACCGTTTTGCATGTATACACTTTTAATACATTTTGTCAATTTAATTAAAATCAGCTCGCATTTAGATCTACGAAAAAATTTCTAGTGACCTTTTACACAGCCAGTCATCGGCGAGCTTTCATAATTTTGAAAGCGATGTTCTTTCTAATGTTAACCCTGAGTAGGTAATTTCACGATTTCAAACATGTCGTTGTCTGTATAGCCGACAGGTAAACTGGCAAAACAGTCTTGCCCATTAAAAATTGACTCTATTATTTAAAGTTAACTTGTTAAAAAGTAGTATACTTCAAACATGTTTTCTTTCAAACAAAAACCAACAATTTGTTTAACTTCCACGGATAACGGTTTGATTGTATGGTTAAAAATAGTTTTCCATGGAAATCCGAATTATAAAGAAGGCGAAACATATACGTAACTTACATTCGGCCGAAAATAAAACAATTATTTGCTATACTTGAGAAGGATAAAACAAAACTATATCAGGTTAGGAGGCGGTTTGCTACTTTTTGTTCTTTCAAAGTTGGCAAGCATTTTCTCATAACAATACATGAGTAATTGCGTATTTTATCATGTAATAAAGACAAATATATCTCCAAAGACAAATTTTCAATCAACATAATTTTAAAGATACTAGCTTGAGATATTTGACAGTTTTGTTAAAACATGAAAACAATCTCACTTGTTTAGACTTTAAATTTTAATTGAGCCAAAGTAATGTTACTTGTTCAGTAGCAAACCTCGAATGAACAATTTCGCGCGAAATCCGCACGAGAAAACGGGCATGAACATTTAATAACGTAAATTGTATTATACACTGCCAATTTGTATATCCTTACAAGTAATAAAGTCACTATCTTCTTACAATAAAGTCGCTATAAAGACACTATCTCTTACAATAACGCCACTTCTCCTTACAATAAAATCGCGTGAAAACACACACACACACACACGCGCGCGCGCGCGCGCGCGCACGCACGCACGCACAAACCCCCCCCCCCCCAAAAACACCAACAACATAAGTTCATATCATCACACGAATTTATAATACATGTAGTTCTTAACTCTAACCTCTTGGTATTAAATCGTATATATATCTCGAGTTTTTAATGCGAGAACATTTCCATTAAAAGGAGAATTAGAAAAAAGCACTATGTTTGCATGATCTGCCTAGGTTTACAATACTCTATGAAATCTAAAACAAAGTTTTGAAACTCTCTAGTATGTACATTGACAAGAAACTGTCAGAAAATTGCAGACTCCCACTTCGGAACTATTAAAGTTCCCTATTCCTTACAAACAAACATATGCTTGTTTGCAAACCAGTCGACTGTGAAGGGACATTATTTAGCAATAGGAACTCAAATGTTCCGATACGCCCCAGACGTCCCAATCATAATCTTACCCGCGTCGTCTGCTTCAAAATTCCAGGAACCCATGCCATTTCTTACAGAACATAAATCGAAATAAATTCTAGCAATAGTTTGTAAAGGACCCTTTGTGCTTCTCTGATTACAATGTTTGCATTGCCGCAGCTGTCTCGACCCTGACTGGGCGCAATGAGAATACCTGCGCGCCTGGGTAGCACATGATATGACCCCGCGCAGTAATCTGCTCCGAATTTGACAAATCAACACTTCGGGCGATTTTTCAATGTTTTCCGTTATAAATTAACTGAGCCAAAGTAATGTTACTTGTACAGTAGCAAACCTCGAATGAACAATTTCGCCGCGAAATCCGCACGAGAAAAACGTGAACTATTTATACCAAATACTTCTAAATACTACAAAGCAAAAACTACAAAGTACCGAAAACAATATTTATTATCAGATCTTCATAAAAGAAATAAGGCTGCAAGCCAATAAAGATATTAATCGACTGTCTCCGTAAAATCGACGGTCTCTGACGGTCTCTAAAGACCGCGAAAGATCGGTATTCAGGCCGAATCCGGTTTCGTAACGTACCGTATATTCCGTTAATACCGATTATTGACTTTAACTTACCTGGACCAAGGGACGTCACTCCTCTAAATATTATGTCCACTCCGGACATTTCTCACATTTCAAGCGAAGATTACAGTTTAATTTACGAGCCGGCAGAAGATTCGTTTCTCTTTTTGGATGCTTTAGAAAAGGAAATAAACGAAATACAAGAAATAAGGTGACACAAATTTCCAAGATTACAAAACAAGTGTATGAGTAATCGGATATAAATTAAATATGCTAATATTCGGATAATGATAAACCCTGGCAAATTTAACAATACTAATAGATACAGGCCAATGCATATCAATGATATCAACTTGGCATGGGTCAACTAAGGGGTAAATAGCCCATATTTGTATACAATTGGAGTGGGGGTGGAGTTAGTTTTAGAGTGTAGTTAACCCTGATCCTATAAATACCTGCCCCATTTTAGTGACAATATCATCATGCTTTATATTATATTTTTTTATGGATCCCTCTTATGTTAAACATATTAGACTATGTTAACATCACTGTCATTCTTTATTTTTTTTTATTTTTAGGCCACAAATATGTCTTGAAATTGGTTCTGGATCTGGTATCGTGTCGACATTCTTGGCGAAAGAGATTAGACTGCAACTGCTCTCAATGTATGAATGAATATCTACAAATAATAATAATAAGTTAAATAATGTACTTTTCACTTTTGGAAAAATATTTGTTCACATTTGAATTAATATTACAACTGATTACCGGTATATAATAATATAAGAATCTTACACTGGCTGCCGGTACAGACCGAAATATCTAGCTCGAGGGTGACTGTTTAAGGCGGTAACGAGGCTCTGCCGAGTTTCCGCTAAACAGTTACCCGAGTGCTAGATATTCCGGTCTGTAACGGCAGCCAGTGTTTGATTCTTTTTCTTGCATATAAATGTCACTTATTTTCGGAACAGAAATTACGAAAATGATATTTTCATTACGCACTTTTTTCTTATAGTAGCGTATGAACTTACAAACTTTATCGATAAAATGACGTCATCCTTAGAAAGCAATTCATTCATAAAAGGCCCGCGTCAATGACTTCATAAAAAGCACGCGACTTGTCTAACATGGGGGATGTAAGACAGGGTTTTCTAGCACCGGTGAAAACGGTAGATAATCTTGTCTGATATGCAAGAATAACTTACCTAAGACTGCAGCTGTGCTAGCTGAGGTACAGACAGCACTACCACTGGATATTAACCACAATTTAGCAATTTAACTCTGCCATGGGATATAGGTTGAAGAAAGAACACAAGAAGATAAATACATTTTGTGTATGTTACTATGTAGCCTTGGTAACTGATATTGACCATATAATAAGACTTACATGTACATCTTTATATTTGGCTTGAAGATACCTTTGGATGTCCTAAATCTTTTGATGGAGCAAAGGTTACCATTGATTAACATCAGGGACACTAGTACCAAAATACATTTTTAGGCTTTTTCTGAAAAGTACAGCTGAGTGGGTTCCTAACTCAGGTGCAATTCATGCCTGAAATAATAAGTGATAAGGCACCTGAGGTCTTACACCACCAGGAAAGCTGGAAAGTCGCCATATGACCTATACAGTATACTATGTTGGTGGACTTTAAAACCAAACAGACAAATTTATATTGTAGCAGCAAGTGGCTGAACATGAAATATGAAAATGTTAATTCAGAGGTGTAAATATTGACACTGTCATGTATTTCTTGAAATCTTAAAAATATGATTTTACATCTTTTATTAAGTTTCTTCATACTTCTGTTCATTAAAGTTAAAAAAATTGTTTAACTTGTATCATTAGAATTTTGTTTATTATTGTATGTTTCTTATATATTGACAGATGCACTGATATAAATCCTAGAGCTGTGTCAATCACCAAGACTACAGGATTGAAGAATGGTGTTAGCTTAGAGGCAGTCTTAACTGATTTAGTAAAAATCTTTACATATTTTATATGTGTATACTTCTAAATGTTTTATGCATTATTTATGTTTTAAAGGCCCATATAGCACAAAAAGTGCTTTTAATTTTATTTCTCAAAATTTTCTTATATTTTGTAGCATGTTACAGTTTTCAAAATGTTACTTGTTGGCCATGAACCTTATCAATCTTTTGCTTTTTGACCATAAGTACAGTTTTTGAACTGTATTCTGTATTGAAGGCAAAATACTAGTTTGTTTGCACTTAATTTATATTTTTAAAGACATATTATGTCAATTTTATCACTACTTTAAACCTTTCATGATGCTCTATGTTTATTATCAGAAAATTATAAATCACTAGTTTACTTTTACTAAAGGAGAAACTATTTATGATTTCTTAGGCTTACTGTACCTTTAATATTCTAATGTTTATTACTGCTTTTATGTTTCCAACTAGTATAGAATTAAAACAGTTCTTTTTGACAATGCATAGATATTACTTTGTAACTTAAATGGCAAAACTATTATGCCTTTAGTTATAGGTTAAATACATGTAATTAAAATAATACAGGCACAATTATACATGTATATTTGATTTTAGTTGATGACAACATTTTAAAACAGCAAATATAGAAATTCTTCACCTCATCCTGTAATGTTTTGGAACTAAAAAGTGTTTAGCTTTTGCCATCACTACACTAGTCTACACATCTGTGCAGTCTGACCAGGCTCTATACTGCTGGTAGCTCAAACTTGTGTTTTGATATTGTAATCCCTTAAATGTTGAATGGACTGTTCCAAATTCAAAGCTGGGCAAGTCCATTACAAAAATTCAGCAGGTAATGGGTTAAATATTGCTTGGTAAAATGACTGGCAGAGCCACGGTTGGGATACATTTATTAAAAAAGAGAGGTCCTTGTGAGAATAAGGTATGATATTATAATTTTTAGGTGACTAAGGATGATAATAATGGTAATGGTTTTTGTTACATGCATGTGTAGTTTCTATCGTTATTACAGGTTGATGGTTTAGCAGAAAGACTTAAAAAGAAAGTGGATATTTTACTCTTTAATCCACCGTATGTTGTAACACCAAGTGAAGAGGTATGTACACTTATATAATTTAATTTGTACTATGTGTTACATGCAAATTGCAAATTTATAAGTCCAAAACATCACTTCACCATAAATATACTCATTTTTTTTACTGAAGCGATCGATTTGCCAAATTTGGCAGCAGACGCAATATCTTCAAAAATACAGTTTTACACATTAAAGCTATGTAAAATTTATTTAAAAAATAATGAAAAGATACAAAAATATCTGAAAATCATTCTTGGCTAACATGGTATCTAAATTTCGTCTACAAAACATGGAAATTCATGATCTAGGTGGCAGCAACAAGGTGCTTGTAAACTGCGAACAATTTCGTGGACTTTTAACCGATGTTTGAAAACTTGTCGAAGGTACAAAATGTCACGACAGGCCCCATATACAATAATACAACCTTTGTTGATTTGACTTAGCTAGGTTCTTTTCTTGTGTCATTGGCAAAAGTATTATATAAGAATAAAACAAGGAAAACAACAAAAACAGTGAAAATTAATTCAATGCACTCTTAAACCACAATATTATAGTACACCTCTTACAATGTACATTGTTAATTCAAGGTGGCCCCATTTGCTTTTTTGGAAATTGATTGGTCTCTTTTGGGTAGGTAGCAAGGAGGCCCCATTTGCTTTATTAAAGATTGGTCTCTTTCAGGTAGGCAGCAGTGGCATAGAGGCATCTTGGGCAGGTGGAGCAAATGGAAGAGAAGTGATTAACAGATTTCTACCCCTTGTCCCTGAGTTACTGTCAAACACAGGGATTTTTTACATGGTTGTGATCAAGGAAAACAATCCAGGTAATAAATATCATCCAAAAGACATGTAGCATCCTTGAAATGTAAAAGATTTTGAGTCATTAAATTTTAGTAAAAAGCGAAATTTACAGACTTACTCACCTCATTAATGATACTTGGGGGTGTGATGAAATTTTTCTTTGACCTTTGATCTGGGACATCGAGTCCAATGGTCATTTGCCTCTCCTGGTTGATGCCGAAATCATGTCCGGTTAATAGTTGGTCACTTGTGGAGAAATTGGTAAATACTGGTTAGTTATCCAGGAAAAGCAGTTAGGTGGATCAACCACTGAGGTATGACAAAAACATGTGTTAGAATTGGCGTGAAAAAACAAAAAAAAAAAACGAAAAACAGAAAAATATACAAACTGACTGGTGATATTGGTCAACAGATCTGAGTTTGTATAGTTAGAACATATGGTTACAATATATATATTTTTCAATGGTAGCAATACCTTAGATTAGGTAAAAGCAAACCTTACCTACCTTTAACAACTTTTTCAATGATATGTTGACAGTTATAACTTCAGAGAACCATGGTCTAGTGCTCAAGGTGTCTGAATTACTATTTTTGAATCTTTGCGTTTTGCATGATACCATGTGCAGTGACAGCTATAGTTTGAACAGTGAAGTAGAAACAAAGTATAAGCATTGTAGCACCATCTATCATTGACGCTTGTGAAGCATTTTTAGCTCGACCCTTTTTTCCGAAGATTGAAGATTTGTTTAAACCATTTATTTGTTTGATTAAGAAAAAAGTAAATAAAGTCGAGCATGACCCCAGTTTGGCGGTGGGTATTGTTAACTGTACTGTTCATATTTCACATACATATTCCTGAAAAAAGATTCTAGGAAGTTTCCTTCAAAAATGTAAGGGGGGCAAAAAAGGAGGAACGTCATGGGAGGGGTTGGGGAAGCAGCTTTCTGTAGGTGGGGGTTGCAAATTATTGTTTTCCCCATAAAAACGTTATCCAGCAAAGTCTGTTTGTTACATATTGAACTAAAAGAAAATTGATAGCTCTTCTAGATGTAGAAACTTCTCAAGTCACTGGTAACATTTAAGATATATTAAAGATATAAGTTGCTTGCACTTTTTGCTTACCACACTAAAGGACTATGTTTAAGATTAATGTAAAAAGTAAGCAAATCTTGCCAGGCCATTTCGAAAAAAAATCAGCATATGTCTGTTTTGTTTTTCAGATGAAATTGGATCTATACTTAGCAAGTCAGGGTTGAAGATGTCAACTGTTCTTGAAAGGAGGAGTGGACCAGAGTTCTTATCTGTATTGAAATTTATGCGAGAGTCATGACACATGTTCTACAAATGCATTTCTCCAATGAAAATAAGAATGGACACCCACCTTCTCTCTTTTATAGGATAGGTTTATATTGAGTACTTGAAGGGCAATGCAGTTTTAAGAATCATTGAAGATGTTGTTATTATACGGTCAGTGGTGTAACACACTTGGACAGTCATGAAAGAATTCAGGAACAGTATAAAATTCTAAATCTGACACTGTGCAAAGGTCAATGGAAATATTAGTACTTGACCTGGGAAGACAGATACCTATCATCTAATGCATCATTTATAAAAAAAGACCTAACCTACGAGCAATGAAAACATAATCATACAGTTCAGATTTCTATAATTGGGTTTAGCAGTGGTCACTTACAGAAAAATATTGACAATTATAGTAAAAATCTGAATATGATCCAACCAGAGTAAGGGTTTACTACATACTGGTTAGGTATCCAGGAAATCTGGTATTAGGTGGATCAAGCTATTTATCACCCACCAAACACACAAAAAAAAACAGCCCAAAAAGAACCAAGTGTTAAAATTAACGTAAACAAGTTAAGACTTTGTCTTAAGAAATTATTATTTGAGGAGAATAACGTTCTTGCATTACGTCAAGTAAACTGATAATTGTTGAAAATAAACTTGATTTGATATTGATATTGTTTTCTTATAAAATACTAGCATGGCATGGTTACAAGTGTGAAGTTCAGGTTTTTTTTCTGCTGAAAAGTCTTTTTTTTATCTCCCCCCCCCATGGAATCGGGAGGCGGATATTGTTTTGGCGTTGTCCGTCCGTCCATCCATCTATGCGCATGCCGTCGCCTTGTTCCGGTCAAATTCTTCAACACAAAGTTATGGCACTTGATTGTTTATGCAGTATGCATGTAGAGCAATAATCGTTTTGCGCTATTTCTCTGCGACTACTGCTGGATTTCCATGAAACTTTATGGGAACCATCAGTACCAAGAGGAGATGCATATATCATCACCTTGGTTCGATCAGACCCTTCAACACAGAGTTATGGCCCCTTATTAGTTGTGCAGTATGCATATAGAGCAATATTGCTATTTGATTGATTTCAACAAGACTTTATGGGAGCCAACAATACGTAAAAGGAAATTTGCATCTCGTTGGCATGTCCCGATAATACTATTTAACACGGTGTTATGGCCCTGAATTTCTATTTGTACAAAGAATAACATTTTTATGGATTTGTTTGAATCGGGTCAGCTCGGCCCTAAAACGTACTCGGCCCCCGAGTCAGCTCGGCCCTATTCCAACTCGGCACGGGTCAACTCGGCCCACTTTTCAATTATTAATATTTAGGTTTGTGTTAACACTATTTATTGTAATTATTTATAATACATGCACGGATTGACAGTTTCGAACTAGCAGCAGGCAAGCTTTTCTTATCAGTAGAATTGCGAGTAAAGATAAACGATTGCGTATCTCACTGTATTTCTACATATTTAACTTCTGTTCTGTTCTTTATTACTTTAACGTTCTAGATAATGCACAGACAAGGTCTTTCTATTTGATAGAAGAAAAAAAAACGTATGACACGTGCAAATGAATTTCGGCAACAATCAATGCGCTTATACGGAAGATTTAATTAGAAGCTTATGATATTAAGTAAACACGTTTTTGTTTCATTTTTTTAAATATTACTTTACAAACACATTTTATTAGAATCTAGATCTATATTAATTTTATCGAATCTGCAAGACAGATAAATAACATTTTTTTCTAAATATACTTTATTTCAGAAGAAGTACAATGTATGTGAATAATTATATAATAATAAGATATTTCTTATTATTCATTTACCTTAACAACATGCAAAGCAAAGTTAATACGTTATATATATTTTTGCAAAGTGGGCCGAGTTGACCCGTGCCGAGTTGACCCGTGCCGAGTTGGTATAAGGCCGAGTTGACTCTTTTCCGATTTGTTTTTGCAACAACTGACTGGATAGCCCATTCTTATATTATGGTGATCTGACCAACCCCTTTTCACCAACTGCAGTTTTTTACTGTTTATACCTTGATAAATATATAAATAAAGCCTTATGTCTCCAGTTTTTGTGTTAGTAATATCCAGTAGTCGACGTGGGATATGAATTCAACGAATTTGCTTGTTATTTAGACATGATTTTCTGAGATGCTTAAACATGTTTTCCACTTTTTATCTCCAAGTATTGATACTTATATTAGTTTATTCTATGAATAAAGTAAAAAACAGTTGACTTTTCTCTTGCGTTTTATATACTGTATTTTTTGGAAATATTGACCTGAGACTTATTCATTTTCGGAAGCTTTTTCGTTAGTTTCCGTAATGCTGAAAAAATGGCTGTGTTCTGTTTTAATATAACATTTGTGCTATTTTTTTAACGCAACGTGAACTATATCCCGTCTTTCTCATCTCTACCAAATAATTGTTGTTTATATTGTTAAAGGGATTGGAAAGTCAACTTTCAGCAGCCATTTTAAAATAATATTTCAACCAGAGAGTGCATACATTTACTATACATAGTATATGCGGCTGACTCATTGCTAATGAAATGTAAGCGGTAGATAACAACTATTTTCACACAAACCAGATAGTTTTCCTTATATGTATAAAGTAAAAACTTGAAAAATCTTCTTCTCTGAATTGACAAACTTTAAGACTAGAGGTTAAATATATGGCATGAGACTTTGCGAATAAACATGTTCCGTGATAAAAGGCTCCAGAGGGGATCGAACCCTCGACCTCCTGTTTACTAGACAGGCGCTCTAACCACTGAGCTATGGAGCCGTATGTTAATGCGTGAAAACTCGATACTTTTATAACAAAACATAATCTAGTCTGGGACATAACGATTTTATGTCCTGTGGCCACAGATGGCCAATTATTGACAAACTCATAGTAATTGATACGATTTTCTAAATATAAGATCAAAAGTCTGGAGGTGTTCTTTCCCTTTATATTTGAAAATTATTTATGCTTTAATTTTTGGTATCTTGTTACAGTTTTCAAGGTAAAACTCATTTGCCATATACATGTACATGGACTAACTTTGGCAACTTTAGCTCTGTTGGCAATAGGTATAATTATAATGCATTTTGTATGGATGTCAATATATTACTTTTTATTTATATTTTGCAACCTTTATGACACATTACTGCACGTTCAGCACTACTTTATTCAGCATGCTTTAAATCCATTATTCAAACACTATTAAACACAGCTCTGACATTTCTAAAGAATTAAATTAATTTTGATTTCTGGGGCATAATGTGCCTTTAATTATATATAAATGTAGGATCAAAAGATGACCTATAAATTTTATCTATATAAATGTTATTTAACCAAAACTAATTTTTCTAATCGGCATCTTTTATCGGGGGCTGTCAAATAGAACGGCTCATGTGTGCATCAGGGTCTTTGAAAGACCCTGTGTATACTGTTCAGTTCATATAATATCAATCATAATTCTAATCTAATCAAATGATATAAGCGTTTTCCACGAACATAAAAATTGAAAACTTTACGATAAAAGCTAGTCTAGAAAATTTTTCTTTTACGGATTTTTATTTTCATTTTTCGAAAATCACCCGTTCATAATTTAAATGGTACCGTACTTTTTTGAATAATAAGTAAAGATACTTATCTGATGGTATTATACCGACCCGGTAAACGACATCTTCATTACAGAGAAAACTTCGGTAGGTGGTAAAATGTATAATTGTATATGCACGAAGTCATTTTCCGTGTCATTAATAATAATAATAATAATAAAAAAAAAAGGTATTAGCTCTATGGTTTGATTTCTTTAAAAACTCTTTTCCCGTATGAAAGGGGAAAATTACATCAAAACTTAACCGCCTGTTAATCGATTTGTTTAGAATTCAATCAATAGCGAAAATAAAATAACAGCATATTCGAGTCATAAAATTCGACTCTACCAATCAACTTATCATTTTGTGTGCACACAACCATGCATTAGGCCTAAAATGTAAGTTCATTACAGCTTTTCCTTAAATTAAACTGGTTAACTTTTGAAAATAGATGCATGTATCATACAGCATTATTAGTATTTAAATCTATACAATAATTAACTCCTCCTTACATTTCAGATATCCTAGTGTTCTCGAAAAATGAAACATATACACTTAGATCAACTACAAATAGAAACAAATACAAGTAAGATCTAATACAAAATATGTTAAGATAATGCGATGCAAGTATGGAATAATTTACATCTATACATTAAAGAGCCTTCGTCTCTATATGCTTTTTGAAGAAATATGAAAAATATTTACTTGATATACAATTTAAATGAATCTGATGTATGCATGTGTCTGTCGATTTGTATGGTTGTTGTCTATGTTTTTGATATGTGTGTAGATCTACACATTTGTGAATTTCTTTATCTTGTTTGTAAATGAGATATGTATTTCTTAATATGTTACCTTCATGAAATAAAGTGTTTATTATTATCATTATTATTATTATTATTATTAATATGAAATTAGGCAAAGCCTATGAACGGGGAAGTCGTTAAAAAAATCCTTTCATTCTTTCCGTTTTAAAGGTGTCATTCGATATTACATACACCGCTTCCGTTTTCACTCGGAACACTCGACGATTATTACTAATCCGAAAAGTTGAGATTTGTTCCGTTATCGGAATACCCCGCCTATTATCATTGACATACATTGTAAATGGCGGCACCCGACTAGAACTGACACTGAAAATTTCATTTATAGGTATAGAATTCTATATATTTTTAATTGTTTTTTATTTGATTTTCTTTTAAATATTCACGTGAAGTCTATAGCCGGGCAAGCCAATGCCCGGACCCGCTTCGCGGGCCCGGTCTTTGACTTCCCCGTATTATTAAAGAGACGTTAACGTTTTATAAAGTTATTCATGCGACAGAATCGTAATAAAAATGACGTCACAGTCATATTGTGCATATTGTGACGTCATGACGTTACTTGTCGCAGCGTATCGTAGTACACATAGATACACATCATAGTTATCCCGTTTCAGTCGCATGTTAGGTTTGCTAGAGTTACATTAAAATAATTGATTTATAAAACATTTAGAGGAACAGGTAAGTTTTACTGATATATATAGTTTAAGTTTTATTAGATCTTCCTATAAAAACAGAAAATCTGCCTTTATTTAGATCTTGGTCTTCAGATTGAAGATGCGTCTAGCTTCCGACTTGGACAAAGAGATGTTGATCTAGGTAGCTCTGTTGATATTTTTTCTTCAAATTTTGACCTTAGTCTTTTCATATTTTTTAAAGAAATATTTTCTCATGTTTTAGCCTTTAATAAACAAACATTATTCGCCCGAATACATCGTGATTATCTGTTCGTAGACTACATGTTATCACATATCACACTTTTAAGGATGTTTTTATAAGTATTTGATATGTTTATAAGTATGTTGTATCAAAACACATGTTATGTTAAGTTTTCCCTTTAATCAACTTAATTCATAATTGATATTTTTTTATTTGATAATCAAGATTTCTACGAGTTAAAGCTTTCTGCAGACATCTTTCGTCAATATGTTATCTAAAAACACTGGTAAAGTTTTATATCACCAACTAATTATTAATGCAGTTAAGAACTTTTCACCCATTTTTGTTTTTGGATAAATTATTTCTTACCTAGGGTTATGTATGTGTCTTTCAAATTATTATAATTATGTATGGATCGCAGTCATATAGCTATTGTTTGAGTGAGTAATGTTTACAGTATATGAAGTAATTCAAATCTACTTTGTTTTTAAATTGTTTTAAGGCAAATTCTTCAACATAATAAGCCAAATTTTAAATACTTTCCCCCCGAACAATAGTTTGTTTCTCTGTCAAAATGAAATAAAGTTAGCTTCAAGTGACATTATGCCCATCTAAGGGCATATAGTGAGTGAACGGGTGAAGATCAAAATAAGTTTTCATTTTGCCATAATCCCTTTTATCACACACCCGTGCCGATTTTGCGACTCCGTAAATATGGTATTGCACGGCCGTGCATATATTTTGACGTGACGTCATTAGCGTTATACAAACATAGTGTAAAGACGCGCTAAATGTTAGCGTTATACTATAGGCGCGTCAATGAAAAAAGACTCTTATTTCACTTTAAACGGTCTTTATTTTGGGTATGTGATAAATAGAATATTAAATTTGTGTAAGGTCATTACTGAATTTATTGCACTCGTTGAATAAAATAATATTATGCTCGCCAGAGGCTCGCATAATATAATTTTATTCAACTCGTGCAATAAATTCAGTATTGAACTTACACTCATTCAATATCCTCTATTTAATTTTATAATTAAGTTCGCATAAACAATGAATAACACACAGATCCAGATGAAATTTCTATAAATATCTGTTTGAATTTACCTATAACACTTTGTTTATAAAAAAAGTGAGACATTAAAAAAAAATTTTTTTTAGGCAGATTTATAATTTTATTCTAAACATTTTCCAATATCAACTGTTGGCCAAACGCCATTTTGATAGTCAATCTTTTGAAAAATAAAAACAATTCAGCTCAATTTGACTTTGAAAGTATGAGCATAATGTCACTTTCAGTTAATTATACATACTGCCCGTGTGTATGTTATTCTGTTACCTAAAAAATTATGTATATTGTTTTCCTATCACGTTCTACAGGATAATTATATTCTGTTAGAGTAAATCTCATGATTACACGAACATTACTTAGAGATCCTGTATGTTGTAATTAAGGTTGTTACCACAGAGGTCTATGTATATAATTATGCTTCTAACATCGAAGATTATGTAAAAATATGTACCACATGATATGCAAAATATATGCATTCATTCAGTGGCGGTTTCAGGCCCGGGCTTCAGGGCTGCAGCCCCCCCCCCCCAGGTCGGCCCAAAGATACGTTTATCAGCTGGGCTGGAATATATTTTTGTCAGTTTCAAACTTTATTGGCTGTAGTGTACTCCCTTGTCAAAACACTTATTGCTGTCATCCATGACATTTCTTATTGAAAAATGTGACTTAGACTTAATAAGTTAATAGAAACTAATTTTTAATTACCTCCCTTTATTAACATAAAATGTAAATTTGGTAATATTTCAAATAATGTTTTTTGGAAATAACAATATTGATAAATCGTCATTTGAGCATTATATTTATGATTTAAAAGCATATTATAACAAAACTGAGTTACAGGATCTTTAAAATTATATTAATTATAATAGAGATAACCGTCGGTTATCCACGGTATATATTCCGTACATACAACATTATGTTTTATAATATATTTTATTTATATTTGCCAGCCCGCATAGCTCAATCAGTTAGAGCGCGAGACTTGTAATCTCGACATTGTGGGTTCGATTCCCGGGCTGGCCAACTAAAATTATTAATCAGTCTTTCGGATGAGACTTTAAATCGAGGTCCCGTGTATGGGTGCTTAAACACTTGGCACGCTAAAGAACCAGGAGAAGCTTCTGGAATTGGGACATCTTTCTGTATCTGTAATTGCACTATCCTCCAAAAATCTAAAATGACTAATACTCTTCTGGAGGACTCGCCCACATGGGCAACCGGTGGCGAGTATAAATAAACGCAAATACACACAATTATATGTTTTATAGATAAAGAATATATATATACAATATGTTGTATGTACGGAATATATACCATGGGTAACCGACGATGAATAAAAGTGTACTACTCCATAATAGACTTAAAGACTAACACAAATTATAAATTTACAAACATTTGCATCAGAAAATAAACACATAACACAAACTTGTTAAAATTGAGAAAAAAAACTTTGTTGTCAGTATTCAAGAATGTAAAGTAAGGAACATATTTTATGACTGTTGTTTTTGGTTAAAATTTGGTTAAAATACACACTTTTTATATTTTGTTCCGGTAAGAGTGTTATAAATGAATACATGATTGTATCCCGCCCCACTCTCATACCAAAATGCATAATTAGACCTCCTCCCACGATGAATAAATTCCTTACACGGCCAGAGAGCGATGGTAGATCTACTTACATGTATATAACTTATATACTTGTGCATAAGATATACTAAATAACTAGCAAGTTTTATGTTCTTTTGATTAAAATTGACTCCTAACAGTTCCAAACGTCCTTGGAAATCATGGTTGTGATATGTTTATGAAGTCATTTTTATTTCTAATTTAGGACTAGATGTAATATCATTGGCAATATTTTAAAACAATCTACAATTTTAGAGACAAAAATACCACATTGCATCATTTTTATAAAGATTTTAAAACACAATCTTAACAAGATCGACATCTTCCTTTTTAAGGAATCCACAGTCAAAAATGGCAGAAGAAAAGAAAAAGATTCACTGTCTACATGTCTGTGGACATATTGAAGCTATGATGGTAAGTTTTAATGTGAATAACATAATTATTATGTGACAACAAAGATTTATTTGCGAATTAAAAATGTTTATGAACTGAATGAAATATGCGAAATTAGAGAAAAGGCTTTAAGGCCCAATTATGCCTCAGAAATACTTCTATTCTTATTTCTCAAAAGCTTTTTATTTTTGGTGTACTAAACTGTTACTCATTGCCATCTTTTTCATCATTTGCTTTTTGGCAGTTGGTACAGTAATACAGATTTAGTATTGTGCATGTAAGTCAAAATACTACTTAGTTCACACTTTGCTACGTTTATGATACATTATCTCAGTTACAATTATCTCTAATTTCTTCAGCCTCGTTTGACCTTTATAGAGATGTTTTCTGAGGCATAATGCGCCTTTAATGAAAAAGGTTGATATAGTTTTTAAGTGATTATAATGTAAATGTCCCATTTAGCTTCAAAACCGCAAGTATGTTTTTCTTTTTTCTCTCAAAGTTTTTTGAATGTTAACGTCCTGTAACAATTTCAAAAAGTTACTAATTGGCCATGTGTCTGAACCTTTGATTTGTGGAGTGGCAATTTGTACAGTTAAAACATTTTTCTTTCTTTTTCTTAAGTTTTTCCTAGGTACTGTTACAGTTTCAAAATATATTACCAAATGGTCATGTAGCTAAATTATAGATATTTACCTTTATCTTCATTCTGGTAATTGGTACAGTTAATTATAGTGACATAGTATTTTGTATGGTAGTCAAAATGCCACTTTACTTACATTATCAATATTTATCAGCGGTATTTTCTCCAGTTGACAAGCATTTTATGTGTTCTTTATTCATCATTACGGGATTATAAGTTTATATCTAAGCGCAACACTTTTTGGATCTCAATTTTGTATATGTTCTTGACTAGTGAGGAATTGATATAAGTTATCTTTTACTTGTTTTCTAAGTTAAAAAGTGTAAATGTTGTACGCACATGTACAGTTTGTCGGATGAATAAAGTTTATACTATGATTTTATGATATTTTTTAATGGAAATTCCGAATCTGCGCGAACATTTACAGACCGATAAGGTGAGCTGAAAATGTAAAGGATGGGTGCAAGCATATCGGGATTTTAAAGTTTAATGATGGGACTCACTGAGGTTTTACTGATATTTTTTCGAGATTTCAGCCGCGTCACGACAAAACCAACATAGTGCGTTTGCGACCAGCATGGATCCAGACCAGTCTGCGCATCCGCGCAGTCTGATCAGGATCCATGCTGTTCGCTTACCAACCCTTTTACAAGTAGAGAAACTGATAGCGAACAGCATGGATCCAGATCAGACTGCGCGGATGCGCAGGCTGGTCTGGATCCATGCTGGTCGTAAACGTATTATGTTGGTTTTGTCATGACGCGGCTCATTTATGTTTCAATTGATGGAAGTTTAGACCAATAGCTTGCTCGTGTGCAATTTTTCAGATCATTCTCTCACTCTATTTTTACAAATGATTATTCTTATTGTGAAAAATGACCAACAATTGAAAAGTGTTGCAACACTTTTCACTCAAATTGGGTTAAGATAACACATATACGATTTTCAATTTATTTCTGAGTATATTTCTTAACTATCTTTTGTATATCTTTCTGTTTAGCCAAAGGTTATCTGTATAAATAAAAATCAATTTAAGCTTTTAGGCTTTCGGACCTCCGCGGAGTTCCTTTCAGGTAAATGTGTATAAGAGAGTACACGATCAAGAACGATTGGTTTGTTTTTCATTTATAATTTTTGCCATTTGAAAGAAAAATATAGTAAATATGCTTTGCACATTAGGAAGAATCAGCCGAAAAGAAATTCGAGGAGAAAATGAAGGGAAGGAGAAATTTAACATGTAACACTGCCCAGAATAGTGATCAACTACACGAGCTTTATAAAGACAAGGTGAAAGGAACACAGGTATCCTAAGTTTATTTATACAGATATAATGTTGGTAAACAGACATGAGCCGCGTCATGACAAAACCAACATAGTGCGTTTGCGACAAGCATGGATCCGCGCAGTCTGATCAGGATCCATGCTGTTCGCTATCAGTTTCTATACTTGTAAACGGTTGGTAAGCGAACACCATGGATCCTGATTAGACTGCGCGGATGCGCTGGCTGGTCTGGATCCATGCTGGTCGCAAACGCACTATGTTGGTTTTGTCGTGACGCGGCTCAGATTATCATGCGAGGTCATGATCAAGTTAACTATTTACTTTGTTTAAAGGCAAAGGGTGACGGGGAAGTTTTTTTACACAGTCAACTTGGGAAAAGTAGGCATTTTCAAAATAGTTATACAACACGTACACTACACGTGGATTGGTCTATAATAGAAGAATTTCAAATATCGATAAAAGCAGTAGAAATGTATCATTTTGAAATTCTAATAATAATGTGCTTACAAATAAAATGTTGATATAAGGTTTTAAGTGATTTAGTATGCTAATTGAACACTTACATAATGAAAAATAATATTTTGTTCCAAAAATTTTATTTTGTGCTATTTAAATGTATTCAATATCGGTTTATGTGTATCACACTTGCCATCAACATCCGAATATCATTTTTTCATGATATGCACTTATGTCTTATACTTATTAAGTATTGTATTACATGTCTTCTGTTATAGACCAATTCGAATAGAGTCGACGGTTGCCAGCTTTATTCGAATGTATCCTCTTTATGCATCATCTACAGTGTCGACAATGGGACCATTTAAAGACAAGTGTTTTATTTTTTCGTATTTATAGCCTAGTGAAGAAAAGGTTAAAATGATGAAGGAATTAATGGAGGCGATAGAGCACGCACAACTCGTGCATAGTAATACCATACTTCGTGCGAAACAGGAAGAGTCCGGACTAAAACGCCACCCATCTACATTGAGTCACATGCACCACGACGGTAATGTTTATTCCTGTCTTACCTATTGCTAAATGTTTTCATTGTCTTCACCACGGAAGCATATATCATACATGCAATTCCTTTAAGGACCGATCATGACATGTCTAGATGTTGTTATTACTATTGGACCGAACTGGTTACACGTGGATTATTATATATATTTATTCGAATTGAAAATCAATTTTTAATCTGAATTATATGTTTGACATGTAAATAAACAAATTATAACGTAAAATTAAATTATTTACTTCCTGACATTTATCAGTCGTCAGTTGATATCTATGTACACATTACAGACAGTGACAGCGAACCGGAAGTTGAAGAAGACAAACCTCACCCAAAAGAGACTGATACTACAGATACAACCGATGAAAACCTAACATCGGAACCAGTCGAGACAAACGCTGTAGATCCCACTGCGGTGTCTGATGAAGTCAAAACGACAGATCCAGTCGAGACGAACGCTGTAGATCCCACTGCGGTGTCTGATGTAGTTAATCAAACTAACGCAGCTCCATTAGAGGAACCTGATAAAATGATAACAACAGGTGACATCAATGATGACCAGTAATTTGATATATGAATAAAATTTGAAGAAAAAAACAAAAGAACAGCAATATTATTTCATTTTGTTATACCGTACAATGACAAGTTGGACACAAATTCATAAGGACATATGATTTTATTATTATACGGATAGCCATCCCCACTAGTCATGTTTCTTGGTACTACTTATACTCAGAAAATGTTTGCAAGGGTTTTGTTTTCAAAATAGTATTTTGCTTAAATTTCAAAATTCATTTTTACAAGTATCTGTGTCAAAATGAAAATCATTTATTGCGTAAAAACTTGTTTTTCTCGAAAGTAGCACACTCCTTTTATTTTTGTTCCCCACTTTTTATTGATATTTGACCATTTCTTTTGCCATTTTTCTATGTTATAAACATATTTTAGTTACTAGCAAATTAACTTGTACATGTAATTTAAGAAACTAAATGTAAAACAAAATAATTATAGAAGAAGGAATAAATAAAGGGAAATATTTAATAACTGTTACGTAAACTTATGTAAGTATACATTAAAAAAAATATAAAAGATAAAATATTAATGCGTGCATGTTCAAAAAAATATCGTCTTTAAAAATCTAGAACAATTTGAACTAACATTGGAAGGGTTTAGGCGTTTTCATTCATAAAATTAAATAGTTTTGATTCCTGATTGATGACCAGGTAGTGCAGATGCCATTGGGGCAATGTTGAATTTTCCTTTAAATACTTGTTTGCATTTCGGAACATGATGGGGAGATAGTTGGTAAATACATACGTCATCTTGGGTAAACATTGATATATTTAACGATGGAGAGTTTTTGTAACCATGCTTTTTTCAATGGTATAGTCTGATTTTATTGACCTGTCAATTTTGAATACATTATAGCACTCATTTAAATATTCGATTTCACTTCGGTTCTGTCCGTGTAGTTTACGAGAATTAATATGGAGTAAATAACTAATGTTTTGAAAAGTCACACCAGCTTAATGCATAGGCCATGTCAAATCCGCAATAGCAGAGACGGTAGAGTGATTGTCTAATATATGTCTAATATAGGTATGTAGTTCGATCCCTACTTTTGCCGTTGTTTTAAGGCCTACTCTTTTTCTTTATTTTTGCAGCATATTTTCATGAAAATGGCCGTGTGCTTCCAATATTGTCTACACATATATGAATCAACTTAGAAATATTATCTCAATTTGTGTTGTGTTTTACGCCATTGAAATGACATTTTCTAATTTTAATCCGAATTCATTATAAATTTTAATTCTGAAAGCATGTTATTTAAAAGGAATTTAATCGCTAAACATATTAAATCAAAACGAACAACATAACAAGCAAATATAGTTCCGATAATGTTGAAAATAGTTATAAGAAGAAGAAGAAAAAAAAAAAACAAAAAAAAACATTGGAGGTACGCGGTCTCGATCTCACAACAATTAGGACACTTAGAAATCATTAACCTGTAGCTTACCCTATTCCGCTATACCGCTCAGTATAATTGCTCCATAGGCACAAATTATATTTAATCAAATCTCACTGAGTACATCTCACGGAAATTCCCGAAAATCTTTCGAAGATTATATATTGTGTGCATTGACCGTGTAATTAGTATGGAATTGACAGGTTAATAAAACCAAACAATAAGTGATACGATTTTCTAAATATAAGATCAAAAGTCTGGAGGTGTTCTTTCCCTTTATATTTGAAAATTATTTATCCACTGTTGCCAGCTTTAATTTTTGGTATCTTAATTGTTGCAGATTTCAGCACTACTTTCTTCAGCTGATAAACATCTAACATGCTTTAAATCCATTATTCAAACACCATTAAACAAATGTCAGAAATTTCAAATAGAACGGCGCATGTATGCAACTTATGTACACCAGGGTCTTTAAAAAACCATGTGTACTGTTCAGTTCATATAATATTAATAATAATTTTAATGATATAAGCGTTTTCCTAGAACATTTTTCTTTTACGGATTTGTTTTCATTTCACGAAACTTACCCGTTCATAATTTAAATGGTACTTTTTTGAATAATAAGTAAAGATATTTATCTGATGGTATTATACGATCCCGGTAAACGACATCTTTTTTACAGAGAAAACTTCGGTAGATGGTAAAATGTATAAGGGAATATGCATGCATGAAGTCATTAAAATAAAAAAAAAGATATCAGCTCTATGATTTGATTAAAAAAAAAACAACACTTTTAGCGTATGCAAGGAGTAAATTATACCAGAACTTAACCGCCTGTAAATCTATTTGTTTAGAATTCAATCAAAGACGAAAATAAAATAACAACATTTTCGAGTCATACCACTCAACTTATCATTTTGTGTGCACACAACCATGCATTTGGCCTAAAATGTTAGTTTATGAGGGAGACGTTAACGTCTTATTAAGATATTCATGCGGCAGATTCGTAAAAAAAATGAAACGTCACCATATTGTGGCAGTAATTGTGGACGTCATGACCTTATATGTCCGCAACGTTATCGTACGTTTACAAACAACACCAATAGTTTCTTCCGTTTTGTCGGTCGCTTGTTAGGTTTGCTAGAGCTACATTAAAATAGTTGATTTATAGAACAATTAGAGGAACAGGTAAGTTTTACTAATATATATAGCTCTAGTTTAAGTTTATTAGATCTTCCTATAAAAACAGAAAATCTGCCTTTATTTAGATCTTGGTCTTCAGATTGAAGCTTTCGACTTGGACAAAGAGATGTTGATCTAGGTTGCTAGCTGATTTTTGTTCAATTTTTAACCTTAGTCTTATGATATTTTTTAAAGAAATATTTTCTTCCGTTTAAGCCTTAAATAAGCAAACATTATTTGCTCGAATACATCGTGTCTGTTTGTTCGTAGACTACTTGTTATCACATATCACATTTTGAAGGATGTTTTTATAAAAAGTTGATATGTTTATAGATAGTTTTATTTCAATCATATTAGGCTTAAAAGCCCACGATGACATGTTAACAGCATAATACTAGACAACGAACAGTGCATATACATATGAAATACATAACATAGCATGATGATAATATCGGAGAAGATCATAACGACAAACTCTTCAAGTATAAATACATTAATGTTGTGTTTAACTTACATATATATGTATAGTATCATTTTATATAAATGTAATCCAAAACATATCTATTTGATGAATCTTTAAAGTTTTAAACCTATGTGAAATTATATACATTCATCAAATAATAGGTTATATACATACATGTACTGAATATATCCACGGTTCTTGCCACACTCTAAGACAAGAAACATAGAATATAATTGATGCATATTTAATTCATTTGTAATTGTTATAACATAAATATATCGGCCTTACCGAAAAGAAACTGCAAGACTGATAATATGTTATAAATTAACAATCATATTCAACATGACTTATTTTCATTTATATGTTCGTTTTACATATATACGTTTATTTAAGATGAGATATTTCAACAAAATGAGCACATGGCATCCAATGAAATAAATATGCATACTACACAATGTATTATTAACATTATTCATGTGTCATAGCTCTTTCGCCATAGAGACAAAGAAAATTTATAAAGTATCAAAAGTAACCCTAGAATATATTCATCTTTTGAAAGCAAATATATCACTTAAATTAATATAGTGTGCACAGTTTATAGAAAAAAGACATTGCACTTAACAGTATACTTAGACGCTAAATTATATTAATGACTACATGAGATTGTTTCAACTAACGGTATTAAAAAAAAAATAATTATAACTTTAACAAATAATTAAATGATAGAATTTCTTAGTTTAAAAGCTTTTTCAACAAATATTCCTAGGTTTCTTATCACTTTTTTATTTTCTGAATTTAATAATTCTATAAATTTATACATATTTGGTCTGTTCCAAAACTTCTTGTGAATATAAGAGTTTCTTAATTCTGTATATAATGAGCATTCAATAACGAAATGGTATTCGTCTTCAAGAGTATTGCATAATGAACATTTTCTATCGTTTAAGGTATTCTGGTTGGTTTAGCCCACCTACCAGCTTCTACTTGTAGTCTATGAGAGGACACTCTCAGACGTGTTAATGACTGAACAAATTTATTTGCAGTAAACAATCAAGATATGGTTGGTACCTAAAGAAAGAAATATTTCTATAAAACAAAGCTCTACTAGAATTTGATAATCTTGAGTTCCAGTTCTGAATAAATTGGTCATTTAATCTTTGTTTAACTAAGGACAAAAATATCTTATCATCACCTACACCTTGATATAACCATGCGTCAACAAAAACCTAGTGAACATAACAAAATCTTTTAACATGGAACACCAATTTTCGCCTATTTTCATACTGTTCAAAATCATCTTTTAACAAAGAGTAAATAATGAAGACATACTTGTTTCTTCCTAAATGTAATATTTTTAACCAATATTTAATAATATTTAAAAAATGCACAGTTTTTAAAGGATACCCGACCTAATTCCCCATAAATAAAGTCATTTTGTGTAGTCTTTTTAACACCTAAAAGTTTTTTACAAAATTGTAAATGCACCCTTTCAATTGATAAATCATTGACAAAACCACACACTTTCGCTGCAATAATTTAAAATCGGAGATACGAGTTTATCAAATAATTCTAATTTATGTTTTGGTTGTAAATAGGTAAATTTGTATAAATATTTATTCAGCTTAAATACTGCTTTTTTGCGCTTGACCTGCTATAGTATTGTGGGCGGTACTTAATGAACCTCCACTTGTAAAAACAACACCTAAATAACAAAAATTGTTCACAATCTGAATAGACTGTTCATTGTATAAAAATTCTAAATTTCGTGGTAATGTTCCACCTTTTTTAAAAATCATTATTTTTGTTTTAGAGACATTAACCTTCATTTTCCACAGCTCACAATAATTGTATAATAAATCAATACTTTTTTGGAGTTCTTCAGGTGAATTTGCGAATATAACAATATCGTCTGCGTATAATAATAAAAATATTTAAACATGTTTACATCTAAGCCAGTCATATTACCATGTATAAAAACATCTTCAAGGTCATTT